ATAATTTGGATATTTATATATCTTATGAACACGAAAAAACTATTAAATTCTCTTCAAATTTCACAAATCGGAATATTTTTCTAACACAAGATCTAGTGTGAAGGTGCGGCTCACTCCTTCTGGTGCCTCACTCCTTCTGTTGCCTCCCCGACAAAAGGTAGACATTTGGTTATAAAATGTGAAATATGAGTCCGATGGTCTTCAAATTTCGCACATCTTAATATTTCCACTAACACAGTATCTGGTATAAAGAACCGATATAACAGACAATTACTTCTGGTACCTCTTTTTTCAATAACCATGAAGCTCATAAAACGCGAAAAAGGCACATCGCAAAATTTCTTTCAACGCAAGATTTGATATGGAGTTGGGATACGAGTATATCGGACCATCGGGTCAAAATTTTGAAAAATAATAACTCTCAAATTCTCTTCAAATTTTGCAAATCCTAATATTTTTATGATCTTAAAATCTGGTGTTAAGATAATAGGTTTCGGTTCACCCCTCCTGGTACCTCCCCCACGAAGGGTGGCAATATTCAATTCAATTATTTCTTATAACTAGGGAAACAAGTCTACATGCATACTGCTGTAGGGTACAATGTAGCCTCTTTACTGGTTTCACGTTATATATATTTAAAAGACATTCTTGAAGTTTTGAGTAACCACACTTAAAGAGATTGGAAATTCCCTGTGGCTCTCCAAACTACAGCATCATTCCCTAAATGGATTATATTACCTAGATCTATTTCATTTTTAATATTTGCTATATAATTTTAATATCTAATTCATCCATCAATGAAAGCTGTTCATTTTCATATCTCAATATGTTTCCACATTGTCAGTGTTCCATTTTCATCAGCAAATATACACACATTTTTATACATTTCCACAAAGGGGGCATTGACAACAAAAGGAACAACAAGAAACCCTCCCGCAAAGAGGTCAGCAATTTTATGAAAAAAAAACTTACTTTTGCACAATTATCGTTTTACTAAAATAGCCTCCAAGTTCTTATTCACAAATTATTTTCGAACAATTATTTTCTAAATCACTCCCGCACGATAAATTTTTAAATATAAACAACAAATCACAAAAGGGATTGGCACCAGCACTCTCTGTTCCCCAGGGGAAGTGCTAATACCAAACACCAAACAAGATATAAACACACACGAAAACCGCTTCGAAATCGTACGTTTGTCACCAAATTATGGTGAAAATTTCACTGCAACGCACAACGTATAAGGTTTAGTAAAACATTTTTCAATATTCTCGGATATATTTGCAATATTATTAACAATTTTTTAAGCAAACGATATTTGTTTGTTATAACAAATCGACCACAAACGATGTTGAGATTTTTTTTTTGTTTGACAGCTGCTCCTGTCATTTGTTTCGTTCCCGTGCACAAAAACAGAGAGTAGTGATGGGTTAATTGAGAGCATATTCCATATTTCACTCTCCCTGCCTCTCTTTTAGTGTCTGAATACTTTGTTTATATGTCAAATTTGCAAAAGGGATGTAATCCACGACGAAGAAAGCCACCCTCTTGACAAACCGAGAGTTTGACAGTTGTTCTGGTTTGTTTACTTTTTGAGATTGTAATGCGCATGTTGTATTGTCAATGCTTCGTTTGCCAAACAGTCTGTCGTTCCCATTTCATTCCACAGCGTTTCCCTGTGCAATATTTTGTTTACGAACTAGGGGATGGTACATACAAAAAATATACGATTTGTTATGGATGATACCTGTGACTAACTGCTGTTCGTCTTTTGAGTTTGCATATATGCATGCATGTCCTTTGTGAATTTTGTTTATATTTTCTACCCTTCCACACAGAGTGACACACGCACATGTGTTTTAGCGACAGCCAGACAGTCATTCAACAAAGTCGTGAGACAAATGTACACACACTCCCATTGAAGAAATACAATCACCCATTCATTTTTTTAGCAACAAGGACATGCTGAGCACAGCAAGCGATGAGACAAAATCAGATAACAAACAACAGAGAAAATGGAGGACATGTAAATGTTTATTATACCAAATATGAAAGATAAAAACAAAATCGGGACATGCCGCATTTTTACCAGGGAATAGCGAAAAAGTTTAAAGATAGGTATAGAAAGAATTTAGCTAATGGAGAACATGGAAAATATGTCTATGAAACTAACTGAACCCGATACACTTCACATCTCCTGATAAACGAAGGATTTCAAACAAGTAATAAATCGAATTTATAAATGTTTCTAGTTCGTTCTTTGGTAGTTAGAGAGCGTGAGCAAATGTCAGGTGAATTGGGTAAAAAAACAGGCTAATACCGGGCTACTTATCCATATTTCGATATAAACTATGCTTCAAAGCGTCGGATCAAAAAATCCATATGTCCACAGAATCATCCAATTTTGTGAAATCTTTGCTATTGCTAATATTATTATCAGTCCCAGTTCAGGTGCGAAAATGGGCGTATCGGTCCACACCTTCTGGGTCAAAATTTTTATACCCTCCACCAAAAAAGGTATGGAGGGTATATTAACTTTGTCATTCCGTTTGTAACTCATCGAAATAATCATTTTAGACCCAACAAAGTATATATATTCTTGATCAGCGTAAAATTCTGAGACTATTTAGCCCTGTCCGTCCGTCTATCCGTCTGTTGTAATCACGCTACAGTCTAAACGAATTAAGATAGGAAGCTAAAATTTTGCACAGATCTCTCTTTTGTCTGCAGGCAGGTCAAGTTCGAAGATGGGCTATATCGGTCCACGATATCGTATAGACCCCATATAACGGTACCCCCCGATATTCGGTATTTTGATGATTATACCCACATTTTTCAACGGAATTGTCTGAAAATCCACACAAGGAGTTCCTTGTGGGTACTTTATACCTCGCCAGAGAATTATTTTTATAGGTCCCCAATATCGTATAGCCCCCATATAACGGTACCCCCCGATATTCGGTATTTTGAAGATTTTACCCAAATTTTTAAACGGAATTGTCTGAAAATCCACACAAGGAGTTCCTTGTGGGTACTTTATACCTCGGCAGAGAATTATCTATATAGGTCAACAATATCGTATAGCCCCCATATAACGGTACCCCCCGATATTCGATATTTTGATGATTTTACCCACATTTTTCAACGGAATTTTCTGAAAATCCACACAAGGAGTTCCTTGTGAATACTTTATACCTCGGCAGAGAATTATCTATATAGGTCCACAATATCGTATAGCCCCCATATAACGGTACCCCCGATATTTGGTATTTTGATGATTTTACCCACATTTTTCAACGGAATTTTCTAAAAATCCACAAAAGGAGTCCCTTGTGGGCATTTTACCTCCTCAAAATGAAGTGTATATATAGGTCCACGAGTTTAATCAGATGTGTGTTAGGTTATGTTCGGTTTTTTAGTGATTTGTGTCACGCTTTTTATTAGAAATGTTTCAAATTTGGATTATAAATTTCTTAACTATTGCCTATGTAACTCCCTATATTCGGTATTTTTGTTTGTGATTTTAACTGTAAAGTTGAAAGTTTTATTCATTTATGTATATATATATATATATATATATATATATATATATATATAGATATATATAGATATATATATACATATATACATATATATATATATATATATATATATATATATATATTTTTTTTTTTGAAAATTTGCATTTTCCTTCCGAGTGGTGGAGGTTATTCAAAGATCAGCCGCTTTTTCACATTTTTGTCTATATTGAACAAAAATATTGGAATATGCAAAATTTTGGACATGTACAAGAATAAGTGTGCCCATATTTTGTCAAATTTCACATCTGAATTAAATTTTATACAAATGTATTTTTCCAAAAGAAAATACAACTCGCCAATCGTATATCCTCCATATAACGGCACCTCCCGATATTCGGTATTTTCACGATTTTAGCCATATTTTCAATGGAATTTTCTGAAAAACCCCAAAAGGGAATTGTCTGAAAATCCACACAAGGAGTTCCTTGTGAGCATGTTATTCCCCAGAAGAAAAATTTCCCCCATAAAATGGTACGCCCGATATTCGGTATTTTGATGATTTCAGCCAAAATTTTCAACGGAATTGTCTTAAAATCCACACAAGCGGCTCCTTCTGACTACTTCACCCCATACAAGAGAATTGTCTACATAGGTCTACGTTTTAGTATAGCACTCATATAACGGTACCTCCCAAAATTCAGTATTTTCATGATTTCAAATTTCGTATCGCAGCCGCTACTATAACCTCTGACAAATTTACTTATGCAGGACCATGTCTTCGTATAGCCCCCATAAAACGGTTTTTAGTTGAGCGGTAGTTTTTGGCGGAATTTTTTGAAATTGTTCAAGTTTCTTCTAAATGATGGAGGGTATAAAGGGTTCGGACCGGCCAAACTTAACTGGGTTTTTACATATTGAAGAATAAAATGAGATACATTAGAAAAAACAATTCTGAATTTGGAATCTCCAATCTTTTCACTGGTGCCAATTACGGAGATATAGAAGTGCCGATTGGGGTTTTGGAAAATATTGGTTCCAGATCCATGACGATTATTTGAAAGGGAATAAATACTTTTATGTTTTGAAGCAAAAAATATGATTTGTTTTAATATATTATAGATTGACGATTTTTAAAGCACAAGTACCGACTATGCCTTTCCCTAAAAAATTGACGATTTTTCTTGAAATTTTATTGGCAGCCCTGTCTGTGCTGTTTGTTTACTCCCTTCATTTTCCCACGAAGAGTAAGTAAATATAAAAAGTGAAGTGAAGTCCACCATCATGGGCGGTTCGGTTATAACTGGGTTTTGCCAGTGAGTGGGTCCATATTAAAATTTTTCAAAGAGCTTTTGTTCTCTTAAAGAACCTAAATGATTTAGACCACTTGAGTCATGAATAAAAGTATGTCAATAGTGTAATCCAACAAAAATAAACACATAGAAATATAATGCAACAAAAAATGTTTAAAAATATACATACATTAATTTAAAGAATATTTTCACGACACAATGACATCCGACGGCTTAGCTTCCTCAGACGTTGACCCCTTTTTCTGGGGCTTTTTGTCATAATCCGGATTCGCTGGTCCTACTCTTTGTTCTTCTGGGTTGTGAGGCCAAAATAATGGCCTACCCTGACGTGGTATAAACTCGGCCAAATCTTCACGATCCACAACAAACTGTTCCATAGTCATTTGTTCGTATGGTACCAAATTTTTAATGCGTTTAATTTCAGCTTCATATTTTTTGATGCGATCATTTGATGATTTTACAAATTCGGTGATTTCCTTCTTAACCACCTCCGTTAGTTTATCCAGCTCTTCGTAGTATTTGGCAAAATCATTTATTTCATGTCGTGCACTGAAAGTGCGATCCAGCTCTTCATATTCGCTTTGAAATTCGATAACCATTTTTTCATAATCCTTACGAACATTGTTGCGATAATATTCCCAATCGATGAGCGGCAGCTTTTCAGGGTATTGGTTGACTCTTCTATGGAAGAAGGCAAAATTGATAATGCAAAAATGGTTGGAAATTCGGCATCTTACCTGTGATATTCTAGGGTTTTATCTCGAAACTTTTCAAATTGTTTCATTTGATCTTTGGGAACACGCTTCACCAAGTCTGCCAAAGTTACTGGCGAAAGTTTTTTAACGGCCATAAATATGTTTTAGTCAAATTAGTAAAAAATATATTGCGTATAATTAAAGTTTTGTTTCTAGAATTTTATTTTATTTTTTTTGACGTTGTTTTCGTAAAAAAATTAGCTAGGTAGAGTTTTTCAGCAACAGTGTTTATAATTTAAAGTAAATAAAAAATAATTTGAATAATCTTGAACTCATATAAAGTGAATGGAATCTTATCGAAAATACAATTTTGATTAAATACCGTCAAGATTTTTGAATGCAAAAATATTTATTTTGGAAAGAACGTTATGGGGGAGTAAAACAAATGGTGAGATTTTCGTGAATTTTTTAAGAAATTTTTTAGACCCAAAAATCAAGCATCTATATTAATAAAAGACTCAAGCAATTGACTGACTGAGTTTACGATTTATCAACTCAAAATTATTTATTTGACAACAACTCCTTGTTAGAATGTATATTTATAGATCCATTGTATATACACAAATCAGAGATGGGAACCTGTTTTCTCTTGAGTAAAATTTGGCAAGACAAATCACAGATAATTCAAGGATGGATCTTATTATTTGAAATGAGCTTATCCTCCTAATTTTAACATGTGCTAAAGCTAGAACTTTGAAATTTTGGATAAGGATGACTTTTGGTCCGAAGGTGTCGGATAAGGCTGAATTTTTGGAAATTCGTTCTAGGACGATAAGAAAAGTATTCAAAGTTTCTAAATGTGGCATTAGACGAACCAGTAGCTCAAGAACTCTTAAATTTGAAATGGGTATCACTGATGAAGTGTATGATGGATGTACCAAAGGGTTTTTGAAAATTCGAAAGTACTAAAATGTACTATATTTGGTACCATTTTGTTTCAAATTTGAAATAGGAATCAAGATTGAGGAGTAGGGTCGATGTAGAGAGGTAGTTTTGGAAATGTGTACGAAAAAGTACTAAACGGTACTAAATTTGGTACAATATGAATTTGGAAGATAGGATGAAGCTGGAACCCAGAAATTTGAAATAACAATAATGGCGGAGTGTAGGATTTGGATATGGAAGTAGTTTTCGAAATGTGTACTTTTGTGCACGAAAAGTTCCAAATGGTACTAAGTTTCGTACAATTTCGATTTGGATGAACCGATAGAGCTGGAAAGCTGATATTTGGAAATACGACTACTCTTGCATTGTAGGACTGAGTTTTGGAAATACTTATATGTAATATTATCTTCATTTAAATTTTGGAAGAAGCTCTACCGCTTCGGAATCCTGAAATTTGAAATACAATTACTACAGCATTGTAGGATTGGGGTATGTAGGAAGTTCTGGAAATACCTTTGTGTACTACGTAGATACGGATACAGATAGAATTCGGAATTTTTGTGTTTGGGGTCAGAATTGGTGTGTAGTGTTGAGATATGGGGGATTGGAAATACGTACCGTAGTTGACCGAGAGGTACCAAATGGCTCTAAAATTTAAATTATAATTGTGAACGAAAAGTAGGAAGTGGTACTATAAAAATATATAGGGCGTATTGAAATAACTGACTGAACTATAATCAACGACCAGACGAAACGGTTGAAGTTAGGATCTGGAAATTTTGTATGTCTTAGTGCGTAGGCGTGTGAAAAGACTGGGTTTTCTGAAAATCACATTGAAAGCGTAGGAAAAGTACTAAAAATTAAATTCTTCGTATTGGAGCTTAAATTCTGGGCAAAACAAATGTACAATGGGTTTTTGGAAATTCGAACTTTAAGGTTACCAAAAGTTCTAAAATGATACAATTTGGTATTATGTGAACGAATAGAGCTAAAAAACTTGAAATTTGGTATGGAAATCAAGGTTGGACAGGAAGTTTGATATATAAAGGTGGTTTTGGAAATGTGGATTAACTGAGCGAATTGTACTAAATGGTACTAGACTTTAACTTTTTAGTTTAAGTGAATGGATGAAAATGGAAGTTTTAAAATTTTATATTGGGTCCCTGTTGGTGTCAGGTTTGTGAAAAAGGTAGTTTTGGAAATGTGTACTATAATTGTACGAAATATACTACATAGTACTGTATTTGTTATTGGGTGAACTGATAGTGCTTGGTATCTGAAATTTGGTATTATGGTCGCTGTTCATGTGTAGTCTGGACATATGACGGTGGTTTCGGAAATGTGTACCCTAATTGTAGGAAAAACATTAAATTGTACTACTATTGGATGAAGGGAAAGAGATACAATTCTGAAATTTTAAATTTAGATTACTGATGATACGTTTACTTGAGGTTTGACAGTGGTTTGGAAATGCTCTCTAAATTTGAACGAAAAGTACTAAATTTTGGTATTGAGTGAGGGGATAGACCTGAGATCCTCAAATTTGTTATTTAGGTCTCTGTTGCTATCACAAATTGAGATATAGAGGTGGTGTTTGGAATGTGTAATATAGTGGTACGAAGCTTATTAAATTTTGGATCATTGTTGGTGTCTAGGATGGGGAGTTATATATTGCTTTATATATGCGTACTAAATGTTAGTACATTTGAAAGGGGGTAAATAATGTTGCAATAATGTCGCAAAAATGATGACAATATCGAACATCTGGAGGTACCGTTATATGGGGGCCGACATGGGCCATTTGCGGCCTTAACCTGCCTACTGAGAAAATATGCATGTATGCAAAATGTTAGCCTTCTATCTCAATTCTTTCGAAAGATAGGGTGATTACAACTGACAGATAGATGGACAGAAAGACAGACAGACGGACATCGATAAATCTTCTTAGAATTTTACGCTGATCCAAAGTATATATTCTTTGTAGGGTCTATCATGAATACTTTGAGGAGACAAAGATAATATACCCTCCATAGAATGGTGAAGACTATAACAAGTAAAAAAGCAGTAAGTTCGGCCGAACTGAACTTTTAATATCCTCCACAATTTCGAACGAATTAGGACATATTCAAAAAAAAAAAAAAAACAGTCAAAGTTCTGTTCAAATCATTAAAATACCTAATACGGAAAGGTGCCGATATATGGCACCTTCTGTTAGAACTTCAGAAAATTCCGTTTAAAAATGTGGCTAAAATCATAAAAAATCGAATATTGAGGTGGTACCGTTATATGGGGGCTATAGGATATCGTGGACCTATATAGATGATTGTCTTCCAAGGAAGGTTCTGACAAAGAACTTCTTGTGTAGAATTTCAGACAATTTCATTGAAAAATGTGGCTAAAATCATCAAAATACCGAATATCGGAGGATACCGTTATATGGGGGCTATACGGTATCGTAGACCTATATAGACAATTCTCTTTTAGGGAGTAAAGTGCTCACAGAGAACTCATCCTGTTAATTTTCAGACTATTCCCCATGTGTCCAAAATTATCAAAATACCAGATATCGCGGGCTACCGTTATATAGAGGCTATATGATATCGTGGACCGATATAGCCCATCTTCGAACTGGACCTGCCTGCAGACAAAAGAGGGATCTGTGCAAAATTTTAGCTTTCTATCTTAATTCGTTTTGACCGTAGCGTGATTACAACAGACGGACGGACAGGGCTAAATCGTCTTAAAGTTTTACGCTGATCAAGAATATATATACTTTGTTAGGTCTAAAATGATTATTTCGATGAGTTACAAACGGAATCACGAACTTAATATACCCTCCATACTATGTATGGTGGAGGGTATAAAAAATGACAAAAAATGCAAAACTATTCGATTCTGAAAAAGATCAGTTGCTTTAATATTTGTTGTTATTTCCTCAAAATATTTTTTATTAAAATCTGGCACAACGATTGAATACTTTTTAACGTAAGTTGTTTTTTTTTATTTCACATTATTTTCTGAAGTTTTATTTAAACATTTAAAGTGATTCAAAAGAAGGAAAACTCTCTCCCCTCCTTCTTCTAATTTCCTTCTTTTACGTTCACTTGATATAACAATCTAATTCACACTTTACACCACTAAAGGAGTTAAATGTCCCTAGCCGATGTTATCGCAAATTTCGTCCTATTCATAAAATCATTAAGAGCACTAAAGAAATTTGAATAAGCCTTTGTTACCTAAACAGTATCATTGCCGTTGATAGCTCTCTTACTTCTCTTCCCCCCCTATTTGCGTCGAAATATTCAACAAATTAAAGTCGCATAATTCAACTTTTATGTTTTGCGTTCTATTGTTGGGGGCATACAAAACCAGTCTTCCCCCTCTCTCTCTCATTTGCCATTAAAATCGCTGAACAGAAAAAGGCTTCACACCTGTTTTGTACATCACTCCACGCTGCTAACTGTTGTCATTCAAATAATTTTCTAATGAAATCCTTTCGGTGTAAGCCCTTTTTTAATATCCTTTCGCTTTTTGTGTCTCTGTGTGTGTGTGGCAGGCACAAAAAGCCACTAAGGATACAATAATGGGGAAATGAAATACCATTGAGTAGAGTTTTAAGTGATTTTCATCATCACCATCAATAATGGCGTTGTCAACAATTGTTGTTAAATTCACAACAAAAAAGTGGGACTCAATTGTCGCGATTGAAAAGAGTGGGGTGAAAAGTGTAAACAAAAGAGTCCTTTATCTGTACTAACTATAAAAAGGCTTATCGTTCAATGAAATAAAATTAATTTTATTTTTTGCATTAACAATGTTATTTTTGGATGGTGTGAGATTTTTTCTGGAAGGTCTGCAGTGACAGAAAAAAATCACAATATTAAAAAAATGTTTTATTTGCATTAAAAATGTACTAAAAATCCCAGCCATTCATATAAGAAATATACACTTTTATTCTGGAATTTGTGTGAAGTAGGTATTTGTGGGAATTATATCTTAATCTGAATAGAGTTCCACTAAATTTTTATTGTATGTGATCAGTCTAAACAAATATCATAAAAGGTCTCATCATAGAAGATTGTCCTCTCATAAAAGACAAGAAAGCATTCTCATAGAAGACGGGATGGGATAAACAAATCTTCTTATAAGATACTAGAAAATCTTCTGATGGTAGTTCAGGTGGTCTTCTAATAATAAGACCTCACAGACGTCCCTAAAGATATCTCAAAACCAGTAAGGAAATCTCAAAAGTCGGGCGGGGCCGACTATATGATACCCTACACCACTATGCATATTAAGTAGAGCTCTCGT